TATGTGGGCGCTGAAGTCCCCATGCTTGCACAGCAAACACCTTACCCATTGAGACATCTTACTTCCCTAGCCTTTCAGGGACCTTTCTTTCTTTGTTTCTTTGTTTCTTTCTTTGTCTACAGAATGAATTCCAGGACAACCAGAGCTACACAGTAGAGCCTGTCTCAAACAAAAGAAAGAAGGAAAGGAAGAAAGAAAGAAAGGAAGGAGGAAAGAAAGAAAGAAAGAAAGAAAGAAAGAAAGAAAAAGGAAAGCCGGGGCTCAGGTGTGGTTGTGCGTGCCTTTGATTCCAGCACTCAGGAGGCAGAGGCAAATCGACCTCTGGGTTTGAGGCCACCCTGGTCCACATAGTGAGTTCTGGGACAACCAAGGCAATATAGACAGAGACTCTGTCATAAACAAACAAACAAACAAAAACAGAGTTTTAAATATATTTTCTTTCATGATCTCCAAACATCACCCATTTCAAAGTTGAACTGATTCAGAGTAGCTTAAGTGAATTGCTCAAGGCCGAACCATACAGCTATTATCAATGGAGATCAGGACTGCTTCCTGGCAGCAGCTGTCAGCCAGCCCCAGCTGTCAGCCAGCCCAGCTCTCCAGCACAGCATTGCAGAGTGCTCTGGTCCCTGGGTCTCCAGCTTCTCAGTCCTTGAGAGAAGAGGTTCCTTCTCTAAAGCCTGTGACCTTGAATGGAAGCTATCCCATATCTCCCCCCACCCCCACCCCTTGGCACTTGCTGTAGTGCTGAGGTCACCAGGGCTCCAGGCCCAGCCCTGAGGCCTGCCCTATAGGCAGAATAGGGCCTTTCAGTCTTCTGACAACTGAATTCTCCAAAGGAATCAAGACCTGAGGGTAGGTAGGGGTGAGAGGACTCTTCCTCTTTAGCCTATTTCAGAGAACAGCCGGGGTGGGGGTAGGGGGGGTGGGGAGGTGAGGGGGTGGGGTGGGGGAGTGGGGGTTGGAAGAGGCCTAAGAAGGAGGCTTTGTCACATTGCAGGTGTACTGGTCAGGTCCCAGGGCTCTGATAATGGCTCCTGAATGACTACCCTGGGCCCCCTTCTAAGAACCAAAAGTTCCGTGCACACCACTTTCTCCTGTATAGGGCCTTGCACACTTAGAAGTTCATTCATGCTCCTCTTCCCCTGAGTCCCGAAGTCAGGGTAGGTCCCTCCTATAGTCATGAGTTGCATGATTCTCCCAGAAGAGAATACTTTCAGCCTGTACCTTCTTCCCTGTGGTCTTTTCCAAAACAGGGCCAGCACAAATCAGGAACTTATTTTGAGACAGGATCCTGCCCTATGTAGCTCAGGCTGGCCTCCAACTCAGGATCCTCTAGCCTTCAGGTGCCTGAATAACTGTTGAATCAAGCCAGGCCAGCTGCACATGGCAGTAATCTCAGGAGACGGAGGGGAATCTTTAGTTCAAGGTCAATGTAGGCTGCACATTGAGATGTTTATTTGGTAATTATTAAACAGAAACCCGCTGAACTAAGCAATGGGCTCCACTGAGTTTCCTTTCCTCACGGGTAAAAAGGGGGTAGCACCTGCTAACAATGGAGACGTTCAGTGTGACCATGTCCCGAAGCAGCGGGCTACAATCATCACTAAAGTGGGTCTCATTTAATGAAGAGCTTTAATATGACAAGCAGGCTAGTGGAGAAATCAGGGGAAGCCCTGACGGCAGCAGAGGGCTGCAGCTTTCTGGCAGTTAAGGTGGCCACCGCAGGAAGAGCCGCCTGAATAGACAGAATTTCTGAAGGAGCTAAGCGCAGAACGACCCCAGTGCAAGCTCAGAGGTCAGAAAAGGCTGGGGCGTTCTCAGGGAGCGGTGGGGAGCAGGACCGCGGGGGCGCCGGCAGGGGACATTCCGCAGGGAGGGGCAAGCACGTGGGGGGCTAACGGAGGGACCAAGGTCACGTTCGTCCAGTGCAGGTGAGGCACTAGGCAGCCCAGCCACCGACGGTGTCCAGGGCGACTCCTCTCCACTGGGCGGGCGGGGAGCAGGCGGGCCTAGGGGCCGCGCTTGCTGTCTGGGCTCCAGTTCGCTTCTACTTATGGTGATCGCGTCTTTACCCTCTGAGCCTCCGCGCCGCTCCGACAGGAAGATGACCTAGGGCTGGTGAAATAGGTCAGCAGGTAGAAACATTCGCTGACAAGCCTGGCGACCTCAGTTCGGTGCCAGGACCCACACCGTGGAAGGAGAGCCGTGACTCCCCGAGTTACAGCGTTCCCCCTCCCTCAATGCACGCGCCTTCGTACGCCCTCACACCATAAGTGTAAAACAACAATCGGGGAAAAACAAAAGAGTGGCACGTGGTGCAGACGGCGGC